CCAGAAAAAAAAAAAAACACTTGAAATGCTACTACATATAGAACATTGTGTCCAGTTCACGTTTCCATATTCTTCTTTAAATAGGGATATTATAGAACTGTGTCCTATATTTAAGACAAATCTTTCACAAAAGCAGCCTTGTAGATGCAAAGTTGTCTGATCCATTCATAAGCATGTGGGCTAGGCAAATTGGTTGGTACCCAAGGTCGAGAACAGGCACACTGAGACCAAGTGGAGTGGCAAAGTTATTTGGTGAAATGGAAGTAACAAATAGCAGGTGGAGAACAGCAGCAGTCTCAAGCAAGTTGGTAACATCTCATTGACACAGGTGTCACAGGTACAGAAACTCTCAGCAATATTATTGGCACAGTGGAATAGTCCCAGCACTATAGTGTCTCTTGAGGCTTACATTACTGTAATAGTATCTGGTTGAAGAGGGACAGCAGTTTGGTGGGGCGGAGATATAAGTAGCACTGCGTAGACCAATGGCCGATCCTTATCACCAACTCTATAGTCCAGAGGTAACAAAGCCAGCAGAGGTGTCCCTATTCTGCCCCTCCTCCTCAGGAACCTTTCCCAAAGACGAGATGCTCTGCCCCTAGCAAGCCTTTATCCTGTCTTTTGTTTGACTTCTCAAATGCACGGCAGTGCTATAGGTTAGCACGTCCCACACCAAAGACAACTGTAGAGGTCAACCAGTGTTGCATTGTCCAATCAGACCACTGTTCCACTAGGGACATCTCCATTCCTAAAAAGCAGGGATTAGTACCTTTTTTTTTTTTTTTTTTTTTTTTTTTTTTTTATATATATATATATATATTGAGGTCCCCCAATAGAGCTGGTGGGTGGAGTTGTGTTTCTCTATATATTCTGGAGCAGGAGGTATCTGAGGCTGAGGAGTAATGGGAATAGGCTTCCCCTGGTATACAACCTGTAAGTCTGTGGGCTGAGGAAGAGAACCTTTCAGGGTAGGCCTCTGTAGACTCAGGAGTATGGAAGATATGGCTGGACATTTTGTGTTTAATATGAATTTGCAACCTGGTGGAATATGATGCTGGACCTAAAGCTGTGAAGGTTGGATGTACAGAACTGTTATTGTGCGGCTGCCACAGTAAAATATTATTAAAAAGTCTGTACACGTAGACATTCCTTTATTACTGGAGGTGGACCTCAGGCCAGGAGAATGTGAGTAACTAATGGCTGGATCTAGGGGGGTGCTGGGGAGGGTGGATGTTTTACCTGGCCACTTCCTTCAAGCCCTTCACTCAGCGCTGGTAGAAGCCGGAGGGCAGCCTGGAGCAGTGCAAGCCTGAAAAGGAAATGTGGCAGAGAGGAGAGAGGCTATATAGCAAGTGCTGTGCTTTCCCCCCTATCAGAACAGCATTCCTCCATGTGGCAGATAAAACAGGATCACACTTCTGTCAGGCTGCACACATGGTTTGTCTGCTGACTCCTGTACACTGCCTCACTGACCCCATCCTCTACCCTGCTGACCCCCTATATTCTGTCCTGCTGACCCCTGTACAGTGCCCTTCTGACCACTGTCCTCTGACCTGCTGACCCTCTTTGCTTTGCCCTGCTGACCCATATTCTGCCCTGATAACACCTGTTCTCCATCTTGCTGATCCCTGTCATCTGCTCTGTTGACCCCTGTCCACTGCCCTACTGACTAACTGTACACAGCCCTTGTACACTCTGCTGCTGACCTCTCATCCTCTGCCCTGTTGACCCCCTGTAAACTGCCTGCTGAGCCCCTGCACATTACCCTGCTTACCCACTGTATACTGCCCTACTAACCCTGTACACTGCCTTGATAACCCACTGTGCACTACCCTACAAACTAATGGGTCTCTGTACTCTGTCTCCTAAAAACTGCTGACCTATTTTCTGCCCGGCTGACCCCTTTACACTGCCCTACGGACTCCAATACACTGCCCTGCTGACCTCACATCCTCTGCCCCCCCCACATCAGACAGGCTAGATCCGGCCCTGTTGCAGGTGTGTATGTACCCTATCCCATCCCTAGCATAAAGAAGATAGGAGGTGCCCTTGACCAGTTTGGTGAATCAGGGCTGCCAACACATTCATATAAGGGTATAACACCTAAAGTAAAGCAAGATAAATCTGATTCCACAAGTTCATCCAGACACTTTTGTAATTTCAGTATCTTCCTTTAACCAGATCAAGTGTCAGGGCCTAAAACACCTCTTAAGTGATGAATATCCAAAGATTGAATAGAGTTCAGCTTTGTGTAATCCTTTTAACTAATTACACTGTTCAACAAATTTTTATTTTTTGCCAGTTTTGGAAACAAAAGGATCCATTTCTTAATGAATTTCACATTCTGAGTTCAAATATAACAATGAAATTTGTCAATTGGCTCTAGTTTTTTCTGTAAAAGGAAAGTTTTCTACTATAGGCGTAATGACTACATAATGCACAATAATTATATAGATAGATGTCTTTCCACAAATATAAAGCAAGTGATATTGATTACATAACAAAGCCTAAATGGCATAATATATTGCATAGGATTACCAAGAAAAATTATAGCCACAAGCTAAGTTGAATCATTTTAATACTTAGGATTCTCACTAGTTTTGTCTTCAGTTTGTGTCGGTTTTGCTTCTCTTGGCTTTTCTCTTGTATTCGAGGAAAGGCTATCTGTTACAACTGCACGTGACTACACGCTTCAGGTTCTTCCTCACTTGACTCAACCACGAAGGATTCTGGTGCTTTAGGAATTGGTAGCCCCTCTCCATGAGGAACTGGACGTATTGCCGATGGAATATTTGGATAGTGCACAGATAACTTTTTCTTCTTATTTAGCCCTTTTACAATTGGAGGCACACCATACAAAAGTAACAATTACTAACATGATCTGTTGGCTCTCTCCAAATCATTGGCACAGCGAAAGGCATAGATGCCTTTTTTCCATTCAACCATTGCTCCAGTGCCGTCCCACAAGAATTGCAGCATATATGTGGTGCCCAGCTCTTGTCCTGGTATACTATCTTGCAGCCAAAATACGAGTTGTAGGCTTTCTTAATCATTCCTGTTATCCTCCTTTTTTGTGAGATAAAAGTTATTTCACCGCAGATATAGCAGAAATTATCTGCTTTATTCACACAAGTTCGAGGCATTACTGAGTAGCCTATATAAGCATAAAACGAAATGTAAAGACGCTGTCGAACTCCAATCAGCTACAGATACTGCAGCTTTTATGCAGTGAAGTGATGCAATTAAAGGCTAATATTGCATCATCTCAGTATACATGCAATTTTCTATTGGTCACCAGTATCAATTGCGCAATATGCAGCTGAAGTTGCATCATAATTTTGAATGGCTTACGTCATTAGATGGGTGAATATATCATGGAAACTAGAGCCAATCAACATTTTTTAGGGTCATTTTCGTTTTCAGCACCCAAAATTATGTAAGATTAGCTAATTTTTATGCCCAAAACTTTTTACCTGTTGAACAGTGTTATTGGTATTGAACTAGACTTGGGCCTCTCTCCAGAGTTAAATACTCAAGGCTTCTTGTACACATTGATGACAGGTTGTGTATGTGCAGTTCTATGGCAGTGGTTTTTATTAGACTGTAATAGAAAGTCAACAAGCTATGAGTTCAATTGTTTTTTGTAGATGCATAGAGTACGGGATTCCAGTAAGGTTTTAGCTTTGATCATTTACAAGAAAGATTAAAAAAGTAATTTGGTCATATAGAATGAATGTTTGTTTTTTTTATTTCTGTCATTGACCCCTTTTAGTTGGAATTTCCCTCACTGTGTTCTTGTAACAGCCATTTAAAAATAGAGCTACGTACTTCTCCAGGAAAAAAGGCATAGACCAATAAAAAAACATTGCCAGAGGTCCACTAACCCAACTCCAATCTGTGGTCCCATGTCATTGCTGGTTCTAGCTAAGGTTGGCCATACATGGCCCAAAAGTTGTATGCTTTGGACATATTTAAAGTGGTTGTAAATCTCAGTCATGAAATATGCACAAAGCGTCTTTGTTTACTTGGCTGACGAGCCTCTCTTTACAGTTACCTCTGTTACAGGGCACCTCAAGACTTGTAGTATTTTCAGTTTCTTTGCAGAGGATTTTTTGCAATGTTTGACTATCTTTGCACAATCCTACAAGCTTAATAAAAGCTTAAACCAGAAATTTGAACAAAGCATATCCTTCTATAGTGTGTACGTGTCTCAATCCAGAGCACTAAGTGTCATTTCTGTCCACTACCTTGTTCCTCAGCTATCAGCATGAGTCACTTCTAACAAGTTTTTCTGACACCAAGAGAAAAAAAAGTGATGGGGAGGGAGCTTCAGCACACAGCCTCAGCTGTTCCTATGTGCAGTGTGAAAGGGAGAAGTGCCCCCTCCCTCCATACAGCTCTCACTGAGATCTGCAGAGTGTACCTTCTGCAGTCCCCTGCCCCCTACTTTCTGGAAGCTCAAACAAGCTTTATAAATTCTGGACTTCAAACGGATGTAGAGAAGAGAAGATTGCAGATAAACAGGTACAACCTATGTAGGAGGATATGTTTCATCTCTGTGTATTACCTGAGGCCAGTTACTTTACTTGGTATATGTAAGGGATTGCAACCACCTTAAGTTAACTACAGGGTAATCACAAACACTTCTGAGCATCAGAATTTGACTAGAACATGTTGAAAAATTGCTTTACAGCTAAACACGGCCATTCCCTTTTCTGTGGAGAAAAGTATTATTTTTGTCTAATTCCAATTTGTTAGATCTTAACTTTGTTTAGAAAGCAACTGACTAATGTACTGTATAAAGGTGTATGAAAGACTTTTGTCAATAGCAACCAACAGTCACTCCATTTGTCAGAACAAAATACATTTTAAATAGTTGCTATGGCCAAAGGAGATATGTAAGGGCCAGTGTATATGTTATGATTGTGTTACACTTCCACATATGTCGGTAATATAAATGCTGTGTGTTTTTATTGTAGGAACGGGTCAGAAAGTATGTGGTGCGCAAATACTTGCTGTATTACCTCTTCAGATTTGCTGCTGCTCTGGGGCAAGAAGTATTTTACATCACATTCCTGCCCTTCACCTTCTGGAACATCGACTCCTTCATCGCACGAAGGCTGGTTGTTGTGTGGTGTGTAAGTATCAACCTGTTTTTCCCAAATATGAAAATGGGTACTTTTATAGGGCCCACTTGCTAATTTTTACTTATGGAATTATATGCAAGGGATAAAAATGTAGAGCATACCTTGGATAAAAATATACTTTTCCTTGACCAACTTTAAACCACTAACATGTCATCAGTTGGCAGCAGTGGCGGTAAAGCAAATGGATAGCACTATTACATAGCATAAGCGTCTAGTTGCAATTGGTAAAACAGCAGGGAAATCTGCATAGTTCCAGGATGCGAACACTTGCAATGCAGTGGTAGCCTATTGAAGGGAAGCTTCACTTCAGTTATGTCTATTGAATGAATTCAAGCTGTATGGTTCCACAGCCACCATATGCAAATATGTCAAAGATGCATAAGAGTATGAGAAAAGAAAACAAGGGGGTATAGCAGGGAGTGACAATCAGCACTTCCTGTGCAATGACCCAGTAGAGTGGATCCACTCAACGGTGCTCTTGTTTCCTTCACATAAAAATGGCTCTGCCAATCAAGAAATTTGTTACAGCGCTCTCTGACAAGCTTCCCTGCAACTGTTAAACCTTTTTTTAACACTTACCTTCACTTCTTCACATGTACACCTGTACATGGACTAAACATACGCAAACGATAATCTCATTACAAAGCACATACAGAGCACGCTAGATTTGGAGTGTTATTAGGAAGATCTTGACTTCCATTTTATGATGTTTTCATTGGCTGTGCCCACTGCTTTTTCTGGCATCTCAGTGTAAAGCTGACCATAGATGGAAATAATTTCAAATGAAAATTCTTACGAAAAGTCTTGGGAATATTTTGTATAAAGATTCTCAGAACATTTCAATGTAATTTGAAAGATTTAGTTTGCTTTTAACATTTGACTTTGGAATGAATGGACTTGGAAAGGACTGAATAAAACGACACACACTGTTAGAAATTCATTTGTTTGAGAGAAATTTTCCATCCTGCTCCTTCAACTTTTCTCATTATTGCTGTTAAAAAGGAAAACCAATTTGACTCACTAATGATTAGAAAAACAAATGAACTTTTTCAGAACATTCTATTCCTAAGAACTTTTCGTTATAAATTATACATGTGCAAGGCAGAAATGTTTTGTTTCCTTTCAGATGCATTCGTTAATTGAATAATTTAATTTCGTTATGTTTGCTAACTCATTTTCAGAATTTTGTTTACGTATCTTCAGTATTCATTTTGTATATTTGTTGGTCCAGATGGATTCTAAAAATTTTTCCAGAAGATTGCTATATATTTGATATATTCCTAAATCTGACAGATTCAATATTTTCAGATGCTGGTCCAACCCATCAAGAGAAATTGCATGAGCTGATTGAACATTCGAGTGGTGCCATGTGCATCCGAATGGAACGAATTTTGGATCCATTTATTTCCAAATTATCAGATGATTTCGAAAAATGTAATTAATTTCCCCATGAGCCGAAACTACTAGCTTGTGATGTCATCTGAATGAAACCAATGCATTAGTTGTCTTATAAATCTTTTTCAGATGAGTTGATATTCATTACTATGTACATTCAGAGATTCATATACATCTGAATCTCTGAAAATTAAATTTTTGTCTGAAAAATGAATCAAAACAAAACACATGTCTATTAGAAATTCTACCCATCTATGACCAGCTTTAGTAAGTTCATAGTCGTGGACAATAAAGATGCGGCGTTTCCCTCTGTACCAAGTGTTCCCAGTTGTCCTCAGGCTTGATAAAGGGACAAACCTCAAAACACCTTGAATGGTCCTCCTGTTTGTTGCTATCTTCAATTTGTAACCATGCAGGTACCACTGACAGCCCGCTATTGCTGCCAACATTACATCCTTGCAGTAGGTCCTTTCTGAGGATCTGACAACTGTACTTGGGCAAACTCAGTCCTGCTACTGACAACAGCATGTGGGCTGCTTTTGACATTCTCCATCTGGCCTGAAGTCAGTGCTCACAAGTTGGAAAATTGTGAATAGCTACTTTATCTTGAACTTCAATAATGTACTGCATGGGATCAGTGCACTTTTCTCAGTTTAATCTTGCTAAAACTGTAATAACTATAATGCCTAAATTGCTGTATTTGATAAAACATTTTAAGTAACATATTTAATGATCAACATTTGTTAAACAGTAAGTAAAAAAAATGTATATAATGTTGTTCAATGTCATCAAGCCCATCCAACATTTCAGGTATTACAAGGAAAAAACTAACACTTACTGCATGACTAGTGTGTAACAAGTCACCTCTAAATCTTGTGACCTATATAAAATCTTTTCCTGGAGGCTATTGCATATGAGTATAACTGGAAATGCTATTTGTGTACACTTTCTACTATTTCAGGACACAGTCGATAAAATACTGAAAACAGTTTATTTTTTTTACATACAATTAATTCTGCTTTCCCAGGTTGGTATATTGCATCTACTTTATTAACCATCTGTAATAAAGCCGGGTTCACACGCTTGTGCTGGTTGGGAACGTTCGCAAAATCGTGCACATTCCCGATCCACTGGCAAAACACACTGCTCTTTAGCAGACATGTGATGGGTACCATTAATTCTTAATGGTACCCCTACACATTGGCAAAACATCCGCATTTTCGCTTATGTGTAATTGCATGATGCTGCAGCGTGCAATTTTTAAAAAAGGGTCAAGGACTTTATCCATGTTTCTGCAGGCAGGGCACCAGTATCTTTTCAATGGGCTTGCAGAATGTGGGTCACACTGATGTGAACACAGCCCTAAAATGACTCTATACAGTGCAAATAATAATGAACAAAAACAAGAAGCTTCATGCCTTGAAGTGCTCTCCTGTCTTAATCTACCTCTTGAACCCTGATTAAATCCGATACCTAAAATTATAAGGAAAACAACTGAATTCCCACACCACGGTGCACAGCGCCTGAGTGGCAAATCGCCAAGTGCAAGGCACTGTCATATGCATGGGAGGTATTTTGCTCTTCCTTTTTTTTTTTACCCAACAAAAGGGGTTAACTTTAACGCTCAACAGCTGTGTGTACAATTAGTGACACTAATGAAAAAGCCGATTTTTAAAAAAAATTTTTTTGTTTAGTGAGCTGGTGTATGGGAACTCAGTATGGATATCCCCAATAGGAACTGTAAAGCAGGATTTTTGTACTTGCTGTGAAATCCATTTTTTTTAGTTCACTAAGGAGCACAGGATTCAGTTGTTCCGAAACAATTGGGTTGTATTGCCAACTACAGAAGGATTTAGAGGTAGACTTTCTACCTTTTAACAGTGCAGGTATTACCAGTTCAGAGAGGCCCCAGTCTCTGAAGGCCTAGGCTTCAACAGCCATGCCATTAAAAGCCTGCGATCAAGAAGCTAGATGGTAGACTGGTCTTTGGGAGAGCTCACAAGATGTCTGCCAGACGTGTGACTAGTTCAAAGTACCACATCTGCCTGGGCCAATTCAGGATCCACCAGAGCATCCATTGCTTTCACCATAGGATCTCTGCATCTGTAGACAAACCTGTGGTTGAAGCCAGAAGGTCCACATCCAGTGTTCTATACTCGAGACACAGGTCCTAAAACACTTCAGGTGGTTGGACATCATGTAGCAGAGCAGGAGCGTGAGCAGAATTACAGCACATAGCCCCTGGACACCACAGGCATCTGTAGTGCTTGATGACCAGGTTTCCCAAAGGCCAACAGACTTGACACCCCCCACTATGGAAAATGGGGGCATCACTTCATGCAGAAGTGGATCTATCTGTGGGTTTGGGGGGGGGGGGTAGATGCTGAAGGTTTATAGCTGAACTAGACCACTGCCTTTGCTCTGAACTTGGAGGTTTAAACCTGAGAGTAACAATAATAACTATTCTTGTGCTCAGAGGGGAGAAGGAGTCTTCCGAGTCTGAGGCCTAGGCTTCTTCAGATAGGGCAAATATTTTTTTGTTACTGAAACCAATGATTTGGAAAAAAGTTTTAAACATTTTTCTGTAAGATCCTTAAACATTAGTGCATCATTAACCAGTATGGTCAGTGACTTTCTTAAGATGATGTATCACCAAATCCACAGTGGGTACAGCCCACATATTGATAAAGGCATCCTCAAATAGATATTGGTTTGTAAAATGTTTGGGAAAGTGAATAACTTATCAGATGTTTTCCAGTCTTTATAAAGAATACCTTCAGGGCCTCATTCACACCATATGTGCAGAAAAATTGATGCAAACTGATGTGCAGAGGCATCAGTTTACATGCGTGCTTCAATGAGTTTTATACATGTGGCAGATTCCTGCACAGAACCTGTATGAGATACTAGTGTAGTGGTGAGAACAGGGCACATAGAGAACAATTGATTTAGTTGTGCCCTTGCAGAACACGTGCAGAAAAACTGACATTTCTGCACCATGGTGTGAATGAGCCCTTTAACCCCTTCACGCCAGATCGTCCCGGCGTGAAGAGGAGTTCCTGCGCCGGGAGGTGGGTGGGATGGGGCATGGCTTAGTGTCATGTGGCCGTCGTGACGTCACAGCCAGTCACATGATCGGGAAAGGTCCCGATCGAAAGAGTGGACCGGGACCTTTTCGTGAGTACCTCACATGCGTGCTGGGAGCGTGCAGGGCGCGCGCTCTCAGCACATATGTTTTTTTTCTACATGAACGCAAATGTGTGGCCGCTCGGCGACTAGGCCCAGACGCCGGGAGGCCGCACATTTGCGTGCGGCCGTCATGAAGGGGTTAAGTAAGGAGTGTACTGGAAAAGTTTTGAAAGTTTTTGCAACAGGTCATACCATTTGTAAGGGGGCATGCATCTCGTAAAGAAGAAACAATATACTGTCTTTAATCCATGGAGCTGAGGAAACTGCCTGAGGCTCCTCAGGAAAAAAAAAATCATCCATTAAGGATTTGTGAAACTCCTCATCAGACAGAGCCTTCACGGCAGAAGGCTCAGAGGCTGCCACAGCTGCAGGTGTAAGTCAGACAAAGTTTCTGGATGGAGAAGGCT